TATATATACACATACATACAAAAGCTTATTTATTTGTTTATAATGTAACATTAATCTATGCAATTTTATACATTCTCACCATACTAATCAAGTTCTTCATGTACAGTGCTTTCAGAAGTCAGCCGCCACACATAAAAAAATTGATGCTGGGCACGCGCACATACATGTGCACTTGGCGGCTCGGCTTGGATGGTAAAAGAGAATAGAAATATTATATTTTCTTGCGCTCGACGTGCTATGAGAAGAGAAATACTATTGTACTCTTTCGCGCTCTACGCGTTATGCAATGATCTAGCGTATTCGAAGTTTTTTATTGCTTATTATTGTTGACATATAGCATACGAATTAAAAGAATAAGCAGATACAATGTATGAAAGAAAATGAAAATTGTTAATAATTATATGTACTTTACATAATATTTATTATACTTAATATGCTATTATATAATTTCATAATAATTAAGATTATAATAATATATAATTTTAATTAGAAATTATAATAATATAATGAATAATAATATAAATTTGTGAAATTATTTTTTTAATATAATTGATATATATTCCGAAATTTTCTTAGAAATTTAAAGTTTACTATATTTTGTATAATGAATTACAAATTCGACAAGTTACATTTTTGAAATTATATTTTCTCTTATATCAAATAAAAAAGAGGGAAGAAGAAATAATATTGATTATTTCATTTACTGTGCTATATTTGAATTTATAATTAATTATTCAAAATATAGTCAACTTTGAATTTCTAAGAAAATTTCGGAATATATATAATTATACTGAAGAAATAGTTTTATATTTTTATTTATTACATAATTATAATTTTTATACGTAAAATTATATAACAAATTATATATAATCAATTTTATAAATATGTAACAATTTTCGTTTTTCTTCATATATTGTTAATACCTGTTTATTCTTTTCAATTTGTGCACTACATGTCAACAAGTGAGCATTAATAAAGAAACGTCGGCGATGCTTAGTTATCGCACAGTAGAGCGTGAAAGAATATAATATTTTTATTTTCTTCTCTATCACAGCATGCCGAGCGTGAGAGAATAGGAAAATATTTCTAGTCTGGCATGCTTACGCATGCTAATCTCTTTCAATGATATTAAAAAATTGTATATATAATACACTAGAAATATTGATGAATATTTAAGAATTGTTTTGAATGACTTTATTACGTACTACTATTAATTGGAGTATAACATTACAAAATATTTAAAGCCTAATGAAATCTGAAAGAATCCCTACGTTAAACCGCTTCGGAAGACTTATAAAAAAGAATTATAATTATTCGGAAGAATTATAAAATCGAGATATTTTAGTTGTATGAGAAACTTTAAACTTGATCTTGTAAACGCTTGAAAATTGCATCAAGTGATATTATCTGGTAATTGGAGTATAGTACTACACATATTTCAAGGCTAAATCCGAGAGGACTATTTTTGATCTGAGAAGAATCCTTGTTAGAAAAGAATTACATGAGTCAATTTCATATTTAATATTTGACAATGTCAATTTGTCAAACATTTGAGCTATAATATATTATGTGAAAATATTATGTGAAAATTGATAAATGTGAAAACTCAACTGTCAGAAACTGCCGTGAAAGCTGAAAAATAAGTGTTAGAAGTGTTTCAAGAATTATTTTTTATTTTGGGTAATATATTAAATAAATATTTTAGTTTCTGGTATATTTTACAAGTTTTAAAAATACGAAAATGTAATATTTTTAAAGAAAAACTAAAAATTAAATCTCTATGACGCACTTTTGATGCATATCTCATCTAACGTCACAAAGCAAATATAGCTGCAGCGAGAGAGTCGAGTCTTAATGAAAAAATATTTTATTACATTACTTTGAAAAGCTCTCGAGATTAGCTACAGGAATATGTAATAAAAAATGAAAGTTTCCATTTAAGAAATTGAAAGTGACCGTCAAACGACTATCTAAGGTCAAAGGACTATCCAAGTCAATAGTGCTATTTTATGCTCTCGAAGTCATAAAACTTTTGTCTGAAACATTTTTCTCTATAATTGCATTAAAGAAATATTTGAGGTTGTCATTCGAAATGACACTCTATATATAAAAATATTCTATATAAAAAGTATTAAATTCAAATATAGATTTTTTAAAGTTGTAACATACATAAAAATATACAGATGAAAGTATAATACGTCAGGGTATAATATATATATGTGTGTGTAGACTTTGTTAAGAAGTTTCAAATATATATACAATGTTTTAAACATGTCACATATCATGAATCAATTATATTACTAATAATTTTTAAGAATATATTAAAAGATTGCTCAATAACCGCGACATATATGCAAATTTTAATATCACAAGTATATTGTATATAATACAGTTCAAATATAAAATTTTATTAACATAACAGTATATATTAACAGTATATATTATAGTTACATTCATATATTGTACACTGTATTGTACATATTAAGAAAAAAATGTACAATCAGAATTTTAATGGCTTTGTAATATTTTTGTATACAAGACCTCTGAAGATCGTAAACATATATATATATGTGTATGTGTGTAAAATGTAAATGAATTAATTTTTGGGGAAAATCTCATATTAACATATAAAATAAAATTTTCTATTCTGTTACTTTTTTATAACAAATCTATTTTATTCCTGCGAGAATTGTTATAATTTGGTTAATATAAATATAGTCATGTAACGTTATTTTAATCAAATTATTGTAATATTACCAAAATTATATTTTTATAGATTTTTATACCTGTAAATTATTTTCTCATAAAAAGAGATAACAGCAGTCACGGAATAAAAGCGGAATTTAAAATTAAATGATTTTCAGGTTTGAATAAAAAAATATGTAATTATATCTGCTTGTTATGATTTTATTCTCTTATCCCTTTATTGGATTTATCTAATTCCCCTGAGTTTTCATACGCAAATGCTAATTAATTTAAGTCATTTGTCATAAATTTTTGTTTATTATATTTTGTTATAAATTCTTCAATTTTCATGAGCGATTAGCGCAACAACAATAATCACTCTTCCCAATCATCCGTATCGGGTTGAGAATCGTATTCGCTGGTGGCAGAATTTCTGTCTGACGTGGCCGCTTCATTCGGTTTCGGAGGTGGTGGTATCAAACTCGACATTCTTTCCAAAGCACCCACTGTGGAACCGGCGATACCTTTGCGTCTTAACGCTAATTTTGCGTGTAGGTCTGCCATAAGATCTCCTCCAACTGAAGCCGAAGACCATCGATCGCGCTTCTTCTCGTCCGGTACGGTAGGCCTCAATTTTGCCCTGCCTATTCCGCCAGCGTCCCGGATCGCTGCCATCAAATTGGAACGATCATCTGTTGTTGCAGACGGGAGATTTGCTGTCTTATCCTTTTTTTCCGAATCATCATTGGACACAGTCGGTTCTACGATTGGTGGTGGAGGCGGTGGTGGAGGCGGTGGCGGCAGTGGTGGCGGTGGAGGAGGTACTTGTTGAAAACCAATTTTTTCATTGTTTGCAATGTTATTTACGGTGAACGTAGGAGGTGGAGGAAGTGGTGGCGCAGCCTCTTGCGATGCAGTTGTGGTAGATGTGATTCTATTCGGAACGGGCAGGTGTAGAACGTTATCCTCGATCTTTGACTGAGATTCTTTATTATCACTAATTGGTGTTGGTAGATCTAAACGAACTGTAGGCGTCGTGACTGCTGATGATGGTGCGATGGGACTTTGGGAATTAAGATCGAGTACAAATTTCTCATCATCGACAATGCCTGGTAGATCTGGGAGTGTTAGCGGCACATTTATTTGAGGAACCTAAAATAAACATGCATTTTTTGTAAGAATAAATCATAGAGAATCGTAAATTCAAATTATAAAATCAAAAACATGAATATAAATATTTTTAATTAATATAAATTGTAATACATTAATAATATAAATTGTAATACATTAATATAAGTTGAGTATGTGTTAATAAACAAATAGAGTCATAACCAATTCCTCGATAAGCAGGATCTTGGTTGCAAAATTTCTATATATGAAATAAATTCAAATAATTTTTATTACCAACTACGTGCTATTACTTTTAGTAGATTTTCAACGTAGCGATTTTGTAGTAATTTAATAATCAGGGAGCGTTCCATTTGATTACGTTGCAATGAGATACAGCCACTTACAGCGACCAATACCTAGATTTTTCACTGGATCAACCAATTAAATAATTTTATTTTAAATTGGCCAATCTGCAACGTGGGCATGAGCGCCATCTGACAATCAAATATCTTGATATCGATTAAAATCCCTTTTATTATTTTCCTATAGTATATATATATAGATTCGCGAATCAAAATATCATAGCAAGAAAGTTCTCGAAAAAATAAGTTATTAATATATTTGCCATTTTTCGTTCCAAACAGTAATTTTTGAAATATAAGTAAAGTTAAAACTAACCAATTATAGATTGCAGTTAAACGGAAATTTCCGTGCGTCGACAGTTTAGTGAGCGCGCATTTCACGTGCTCACTGATATTAGACAAATAATTGTGTACGTAACGTCATTATAATACCGCGTATTGTGTATATTTATTCCAAAATAATTGATGCTATAAACAAATGTAACGAATAAACGAATAAGAAATAAATTTATAATTAAAATAAAGTAAATTTATAATTCGTCCGAATTCATCACTTAATCGATATCAAGATATTTGATTATTGAATTGAACAGAATCGCTAGGTTGTACGTCTGCAAAAAATAATGGCATGTGGTTGGTAGTAAAAAATCATTTAAACTTATTTCATATATAGACATTTTGCAACCAAGATCCTGCTTGCCGAAGAATTGGCTATGACTATTTGATATAAATTGTATTGTTAAATAAATTAAAGGATCTGACCTCTCCGAGAGTTGGAGTATACAAATAGCTGGAAGATGCGTCCATTTCTGATGAAAGCCATGGCTGCACAATCGAATCTGGAGCGTCCTCAATTTGTTGCTTGTCGGTGGATTGACGCGACGATCGCATAGATGTTTTTTCATATGGGCTATCCATACTATCGAATAATAGGAGGGCACTAACTGAGGATAATTGCGGTGGGAATGGTTCTGCGTCATCCTCAAGATCATTTTTTTTGCTAGCTTTCGATCGTACGTGATAAAATTGGAGCTTCTCTTGAAGATTGATATTTGCAGCATATTGGCCATTCTCGGTCTTGCAATTAGAAGATGAATAAGCTTCAGGGATATTCTTTATAGGCACTGAACATTTGTAAACACTTGGTATAGCAGCACTATGCTTGTGCTGTAATGGTATGGTCATTTTGTACTCCTTATAAATATGATTAGCTGGATATTTAGCAGCAGAATATATTTTTACAGCTTTCAAATTTAAATTAGTCTGCAAATAATGTAATCTACCCTCTAGTTTTTTAGCTCTTTCTTTAATGTTGGTTAATCTGTAATAACAAATTAATAAATCTGTAATAAATACAACAGTTGATTGAAAGCAGAGAGGTAAGTCCTTTTTTACCTTTGTGTATTCTCTAAAAGTCTCTTGTCGACACAATCAAATATATAAGAAACAGCATCATTCAGATTATCCAAAGCTTCCGTTATTCGAACTATAGTTTCCTCATGTCTCAAATTGTTTGGAATAATACCTGAAATATATATAAGAAATATATAACTTAAATCTTATCTGAATGATTTAAAACACACACACATACACACATACCATACACATACTCTCTCTCTCTCTCTACTAAAATATAATATAATAATATATAATATATAATAAGATAAATGTAACATAAATGTTATAATACTATGAATCTATTATTTATTTTATATTATCATATGAATCAATACCTATACAATATGAAATAAATAAATACAATTTAATGTAAATGTAGGATCCCAGACAATCACTATAAACAATAACAATAATTTGTCATCAAGTTTTGTTTATATTTTTCTTGCTAAGTGACATCTTTAATTTTCAATATCAGTTATGTAGTACATAGTTAAACTTGTTCTAGTCAATTATGGAAAACTTTCTGAGTTTGAAAAAATTTATTAAATCACTAACACTTATATAGAATTCTTAATATTGATTACTGTCTCATCTCAATCCATTGATATTAGATTATTGCATTGCGTAAATAATGAATGCAGAACATATATTCATGAGCCGAGTTTTACGTACTAATCTCTATTCGTTCTGGCATCTTGCTTCCAACGTCAAAGAACCATGAGAACAAATCACTTCACAATGCGACGATGTACATATTTGGAAGTTTCACGTGCGAAATGTCGACGCGCAATCCGAATTACGAGGACGCGCATGTACGCGGATTATGTCAATCCCAGTGATTATTTTGACCGTATGCTGCAAGACATTATCTCAAATATTCCTGAAAATCGACGATAAAATCATACGATGATATCGCTAGTATTCAAATCGTTTATCAGAGTCGAAAATTATATACAAGGTGTCCCCCAAAAAATGGCCAAGCGGTCACATGCAGGTAAAGCAGATTAAACTGAGTCGAAAAGTCTTGTATTTAGCGATTTTCGCAATAGTTAACGAGTTATTAATTTGTGAAAATAATCAAATTGCAAGTGCGGTGAGATTAGGTTAGATAGGACCGCCCAATGAGACACGCGTTCGCGTTTAACATTCGATGAAAAGCAAAGCTAAAATGATACATGCAGTATTTTTGAACCCAGCCAACATATATACAATAATAAGCAAAATGAGGTCCTTTTTTTGGTGTAGTTAGGAATAGATGCCATCCTTTGAGTATATAGACATGGAGGAGGAATTGTCTATATTTCCGATAAGCCGAAAGTGTGTCCAAAGTATGTGCGAGAGAGAAAAGTATATGAGTGATACTCGTCGTCTCTGCGCATGCGTCAAAATCATGAGCAATAGTTTATTCACTAAAATTGATGAGAAACAATTATCTGCTGACATATTTGACCATAATTATTTATCAACGTTAACAATACTCAATCCATATGTCGACGATGTTAACTTAAATATATCAGTGGATTTGTTGTAAGAAAATTATTAATAATCAAAATTGAATCAGTCGATTTTGATTACTGTCAAAAACAAAGGTAATTTAATTTTTCCTTCGGATAATGTTATCAGGAGACACGGTAGTGTCTCGGGTGTCAAGTCAACCGAGAACTACCGTGTGACTTTACGCGAGTCGGCGAGATGCGAGCATCCGAAATTATCGAATCTCAATAATGACTAAACTGATCAAGTTCTAGTCCAGCGGATTATCAGACTGATAAGTCAGGGTTACTGTAAGATCTAGTGAATCAATGTTCGCTGGGTCCTGCAGTGACCTTGACTTCGGTCTAATTTATCTGCTGGGTCGATAAGATTGACTGATTGATGTAAATATGGTAGTGTTTTTGGTTGTAGACCTCTCAGGTATCAATATAATAATAAATACGCGTGTGTAATAAATATGCGTGCATTGAAAAGGAAACATTAGTAGTATTAATAAATTAATAAAAAAAAATATAATTAATAAAATTGCTTACTACTATTGCATAGTATGCTTATTCTTTTTCTGCACGTCCAAGTGGCCAACGATATTGACGTTCGCGGCGAGTTTGACAGTTTGTGATAATTTGTTTCGGAGTAACTCATGTTTGTGTCAACTTCAGATTTTTTTTAATTAATCACGATTTTTATAAAAATTTATAAACATTAATTGAATGGCAAAGATTAATGTTTAGAAGAATAGGAATCCAAGTTGAAAAAATTTTACAATTCTTTTATTTCTTTTTATGAAAAAAAGATATTTATTTATTTCAATTCTTTATTTCAACTCTAAAAAGGGCCTGACATATATAATGAATAAAATCTTTTAAATTAAGGGCGACATTAAAATATGGTTTTAGATGAGTATAAAAATATAAATGTTACTCTTTCTTCTTTTTGCAGGTTAAAATATATAAAAGTTACATTATTGTTATTAATGTTTAATAAACGATATTCTAAAAGGACTTGATATGTATGTATATGTATGGGTGAATGAAATCTTCTAAATTAACCATGAAATTAAAATATGGCTTTAGATAAGTATAAAAACATATATAAATATTATTATATGAACATTTCAAATTTTATTATATGAACATTTCAAGTTGATGTTATCTATTATACATTGTTATCTATACATTTATTCATATACATATTTATATAATATAAAATAATTAATTTTATCTAAGCAGTTGGGAAAAAATGCTAAAATTATTTAATTATTAATTGAACGACAAAGAATAAAGTTCAGAAAAATTATTTTATATAAATGTTTCAATTTGGATTTTTCATATTCATATAATATTCATATATATATCTATATAATATAAAATAACTAGCTTTGTCTAACTGTGGTTGGGAAAAAATCCTAAAATTAATTAATTATTAATTGAACGACAAAGAATAAAGTTCAAAAGAATAGAAGCCAAGTTGAAATGTTATATTAACATTATCATTTTATATAATTGTGTAATGAATTGATAAATTTTATAATTTTTATGAAAAAGATATTTATTTATTGTAATGTTTCTTCCTGTTGCAGGTTTAAATGAAAGTTATATAAAAAGTATCAAGAGATGTCAAATAATACCTTAAAAGGATCTAGTATGTGTGTACAAGAAAATGATGTTTAAAAGAGACATAAATGATACTCTAAAAAGGACTTGACATGGTGAATAAAGTATGGTGAATAAAATCTTTTAAATTAAGGGCGACATTAAAACATGGTTTTAGATGAGTATAAAAATATAAATGTTACTATTTTATTATATGAACATTTTAATTTGATGTTATCTAGATTCATATTCCTATATATATCTATATAATGTAAAATAGTTAACTTTGTCTATTAATATTAACATTATCATTTTATATAAATTCAACTTGGCTTTCGATTCTTTGTAACTATTTCTGTAGTTGTATAGTTAATTGTGATAAAATATAAAATTAAAAAATAAAATCTAAGAACTAGTATTTTTGTACTCTTTGTCTTCATTTTGTTGAAGTCTTCCTATTTTAACTGGAATAGTATTAGCTTTAATTAAAAAACAAAATAATTTGTTTCCACATTGCTAATTCAACTCAAATGATATCATTTGTAGAAAAGATTTGATAAATGACATCAATAAGTAACATCAAGTTATATAATCTTGAGGGGTAGTGTCGATCGATGGTGCTGGCCGCTCTTATATAGCGGTGATGTTGCTTTCCGCGCACGAGTAGATGATTGACCGGTTGGCCATCTCGTGGCGAGCGCGTGAATCACTCTCGTGCGCGGGCGGGCCCACGGTGTCGGAAATGCTTTCCGCGCACGAGTGGATGGTCGAACGGCTGGCCATCTCGTGGCGAGCGTGTGAGTCACTCCCGTGCGCGGGCCTACGGTGTCGGCGCGTGGCAGCGCGGCGGCGCGCGCCGGCGCGCACGTCGCTGGGCCAGAGTGGCGGTGACTGCCACAATCCTACTATATCCTACTATAAAAATTGCGTTATTCTATTAAACTCAAGTGATATATAGCTTTAATTAAAAACAAATAATTTGTTTCCACATTACTAATTCAACTCAAATGATATCATTTGTAGAAAAGATTTGATATCAATAAGTGACATCAAGTTATATAATCCTACTATATCCTACTATAAAAATTGCGTTATTCTATTAAACTCAAGTGATATATAACACGACAAAATGCGATGATATTATTTTAAAAATGACCTTTTTAAAAAAAGTAAAAAAAGGATGTCAAGTATAGGGATGTGCTTGAAAAAAAAGAAGAAACTGTTGTACCAAGTTAAAAAATGGAGTCTAACCAACGATATATTATCTTTTACTTTAAGGAAATACAGCCTAAGTAGTACATATCTCTTCATTGAAGAATTTCTTTACTCTAACCAATGTGGTAGTAGTTTTAATTCTTTAAAAAAAATTATGTTACGAAATTGGCATACCTAACTCAATTCTAGTTGTGATTAAACTAAAAAATAAAATCTAAGTGCTAGTATCTTTGTATTTTCATTGAAGTCTTCCTATTCTAACCTAAGTGATACTAGCTTTAATTAAAAAACAAAAAAATTTGTTTTTACTTTCCCAACTTAACTCAAATGATATCATTTGTATAAAAAAATTTGATATCAATAATTGGCGCCAAGTTATAATCCTATACAAATTGCGTTATTCTACTAAAGTGATATGTATTCAAATGACATATAAAGTTAAAAATAGAATCTAATTGACAATATCTTTATTTCTTTTACTCAACCCATGTACAACCCAGATACATGGCGAAAAAGTTCACGTGAAAAATTTCACATTTTCACGTTTGAGAGAGTTACATGATCTCGCAAAATCGTATATGATCGTAAGTTCACGTTGAATGAAACTTTTCATTTTTCACGTTTCCGCCCTAGGGGAAAAGTTACATGATCGACTCCTTCCCCCCCCCCCCAGGACGCAGTCAATAATCTAAACAGAAAAATCCGAATGCTGTGATTGGTAGGCTACAAGGCGATAGACATAGAATTCCAACTCGTCGGAAATTTTATCGCTATTGCTTATTCCATGTTCTAATCTGCATTGCCATATGCATTTCTGTATGTTGGATTTTCTGTTCCTATCGCTATGCTTATTGCCTGTGTTATTTCTATTGTTATCGCTATTCCCTCGCATTGTGTAAGGGTACTTTAGTATTTATCTTCGGTATGATCAGTACATTCAATATAAATACAGAATATTCGCATGAGATTATGTACTGATAGGATATATGGGTGAGGTCCAATCGGACATTGCCGATTGGTCGATTAAATAAAAAAATTTTTGATAGGTAGCTCACTAGAAAATTCCTAAGCATCGGCTGTGAGTGGTGTGTCCGATGAAACTGTGCGCATCTGGGACGTTCCCGGGTATATTCGGTATATTTTGAAGATGAGCTTAAGAATATACGAGAAATGATATATCATCAAGATGTCATATGAATGTTTTCTGCTATATTAGGCAATAGTATGTATGACCATAGTACTTTTAGTACAAATGTAGAATATTCGAGTGATATCATGTGCTATTAGGGATAGTAACATAATAGTATTATATTAATTTTTGTTCTTGTGTTGTGAAAAAGATAAATAGCAAAAAAAAAGTAAATAAAAAAATAAATAAAAAGATAAATAAAAAATAAAAGCTAAATAAATAAATAAGTAATAATAAACTTAAATTTTTAAAATTAAAAGAAATATATTAATAAATTGGTAATATAATTATGTAAAATAAATACACATTTTATTACTTTTAAAATGCTTATGTTTTTAAATTATAATATTACAATTTAAGATTAATGTAGTTAATGTATTTGAAAATAAATGGAAATAGCTAAAAGATGGCGGACCAATTAAAAATGGCTTTTCCGTGACCAGTCTTTCTGATTGTAGTATCTCTAGTTAGGGTGACACTCGTTTGACCACGTCCTGATAGCCACTCACAGGAGCCGCTGCCTAGAATTTTTCCACTGTTCAAGCGCTATGAGTGGTTAGTGATCAATCGGAACGTGGTCAAATGGTGTCATCCGGTCAGTTAATTTGGCCAGCAAAATTGCCAATAGCAGAAAGTCCAAAATCGGTCTCGTAACCTATTCATGACAAAGAGAAAGTACATAGAGTGTGAATTAAAGTATAATAAAGTAAGTATTATATAAATATATGCTTTGAAATATAAATAAAACAGCACCCTAAAGGTACTATTACATGCGTCGTATGACAAATTTTTCAGACGTATTAATTGGCTGCAGAATAG